CCCCCCCGCCCCTCCTCTCCGTCCCACTGGAATAACACCCTATTCCCCCAGGCCCGGTCTACGTATTTGTGGTTGATACAAATGAGACGGAACATTTTTGTGGCAAAATTGATACCGTTCAAGTGGTACAGATGAGCAAAGCAATTTTATTCTGCAACATCACCGAGCCAATTCTCGAACCGAATTCGGTCCGATTCCGTTGGTATGGATTGAATCGACGGGATTCGAGTTCGACCGGTCCCCAACTGCATGTTCGCATTCAACGTGGAAATATTCGGACTTCAGTGAGTAAACCGCTACCCAAGGCCACAACAAGAACAACGAGGACAACAACCGTGACCACGACAACCACAACAACAACCACTACCACCACAGCTACAACAACAACACCCATAAGTTCCTATGATGAACTTGACTATACTACACAAGCGGTAGATTGGGACCAGGGACTGGACAATGTGGAAATGGAAAGAGATGACTTCGGTCAGATTGTTCCAAGCGGTCCAGCATCAACTGATCCAGACAGTATGTTGGTTGTTGTAAATTTCTTGTATGTTTTAATTCATCCAGGTCCAACTTTGATCGAAAAGTTTTGGTGTAATTCTAGAAAAAACGATCATCCATTTTGTAGCAGCTTGATAAAGAGAATAGTAGCATCAGGAGAAAACTTCGAAATCTGGGACCTAGTTCCGTTCCCAGTTTGGAGCTGGCACAGTTTAAACAAAAATCCATTATTGTGTTCATGGATCTGTTAATGTTACAGCTACGCATAATGAATTGGAGCTCCTCGGCGTCGGCTATTTTGATTCGACCTTGACATTTCTACAACTCAACAGCAAATGAATGATTTAGAATTGGCTCTTAGGCCAACAATATAAAAAAATTTTCAGTTGAACATGATATGATGCATTGTCCTTTAAAAAAATAATTGGTATTCCATTACTAATTCGTAGACGGTGTTATGAAGAACTGTTTCCCTAAAGAATTTTTTTTCTTTTATAAATTGTGCACTGTCCAGACAGTCTGGGCAAATTGCTCGTTAAAAGTGTGCCCTCAATTGATTTGGAGCTCAGAGGACCAAGAGAGTTGGAGGCGGTAATTTGATTGTCAGTAATATTAATCATTTGGAAGTTTCTCATCACAGCCACGTCGAATGGCGCCCTATCGAAACCCAACGGTTGGTGTAAATTCCACGCCGTGAAAAATCCTTTTGAAACCGTGTTCACACAATTAGCACGGAGAAATAGATTTTTTTCGACAAGTGTATGCTGTTGGTGGAAGGAGAAGTAATTTATTCTCGGTTATTTTCCGTCACACCTCAGAAACCAATACTGAGCTCAAACGAGACGAATTTTCAATCTCATCCAGGTTCATTTTGGCTGACATGACGCTTGAAATGCCGTAAGATACAATACATAACCAGGACAGACAGCTGACTTAATATCCATATGCAGTCCATCCACTGTGTATTGCGCAACAAACCGACTTGTCTGATTAAAACTCCATTGACTACATTCTGCTACCGTGCAGTCAAATTCAGCAGGACCGATTCGTGGATTTTCTTAGTTAAATTTTTGAATACTTTTTGCCGAAATCCTGAATTTTCTGTCGGCAAGTCTGCTGCAAACAGAGGCATGATAAACACAATCATCATGCGTTTCCAAGATCGTTTATTTTTTAAACCACAAGAACTAATCCGAGTTGAGAAAAAAGTTACTTATACCCTTGGTAGTTAGCTCAACGGGTTACAGAGCTATTTGAGGGGATTCGTTAACCAATGACACTCATTAGAATGGCTTGTTTAGAATTTGCAAACCGCTTCTCAACCGTTACATCAAACATGGGCCTTAAAAACCGTGTTGGAAATGTACCTGTGTCGATGTAGACACACACGTCAGGAAACCATCAAAGGTCCCCCCAAAGCATCCGGAAACAGCATACAGGTGACCAAGGACTTCTTATTACTTTGTGAAGCTTTTATTAGTTCCAAACAATCACTTTAGTTTTATATTTTAATCTCAGATAGGTTGTTCCTTATCAAGATTTTATCAATAGGATACGTCCTTATAGAATGAATAACAGTTGTATCGAGACCATTGAAGGAATTTTGGTCAATGATATCCAACTGACAGGAATTAAGCAGATGCATTTGTTCAAGTCAGTTAGGCAATCTAGTTTTGTGGAAGATTGTGTGTCATCTGAGACATCTGCGTATTTGCTTCCCTTATTTGATCATACAATTCGTGACAAAGCGGCCTATTTTGGGGTACGCAAAACGGCAAACAATATCGTTTCTTACACTGAGTCTAATTCGTGTCCGTAAACAACTTGTAGTGAATTCGCACCAAGGGGTTAAAAGTGCAGGGGGGAAAACCCATACCTAGCATTGCATGCGGATGTACTCGATCTTGAAACTGTCGGGGAAAATAACAGTTTGACTCTCATTCTATTCATAAATAATACAAGGAATTGTACAAGGAAATGTGAGATGCTAGACTCTCTTGTGTACGGCAGGATGTCTCACGTGAACAAATACACCAGTCAACCGCAAGTGGACCGAGCCTCGGTGTGGGATGGAACCGTCAACAGAAAGGGTGTTCTCCGTGGAGAGGGGTTTACTAGCAATCTGTAAGAGAGGAAAATGCAGACACCATGAGCCAAAAGATCCGGTGAAACATGAACATGACTCACACTCAGACGGAATGGTAAGTTGCCAAGGTCGTTACACAAATTAGCCAGATTTTGATCGACGACATGGTTCGGTTTGTGCTCGTAATCCAAACACCATTCTATGACAATATGTCACAGAGTTAGCATCAAACCTGCTTTCCAACTCTGTCTATCAGTGCCTTTCAAACAACCGAACTTTACTCTATAAGTGTCCAAGTTCGAGTGGAATATTTGAAAAATAAATGGTCACTTACAGGTCTCTGTGGAACAGTCTTCAGACACTCTTAATCCAATACATTATCCAAAAGGGATCCCTGAATACAACTCCGCACCACTGAATAGATTGCTGGTGGTATTTCTTGAAATCTGACCGACTGGTAAACTTGAATAAATTATTCAGACCGAGAGTTTATTTGGCAGGATGATGTGGCTGTATTCTGGGGTTCTTATTTTACTGTGTGCAAACATTGAAGTGGTTTGGACGATCTCGTTGCTTAGTTACGGAGAAAGTTCACTGTACAGATGTGTAGTGAGAGTCTACTTGTAAGTTCAAGTCCCAACCAAACACATGAACTTAACCTAAATGGATTAATGGAAAACAGAATAATCAATTGTTTGGAATACATCAAACCAGCGTCAAAATCTTTTTTGTCTCAAACCAAAAACACCCGGTAATCCACGGTCCCTAATTGTCCTCAATTGACGGATTCCGCCGCCTTGGTGCTGTCATGAACGTGCATTGAATCAGTATGAAAATTGCTCTTGATGGATTTGTGACGCCCCTTATGAACGGAAATGTTTGCCTGCAGATGATTCTTCACAATGATTACGTAATCCCTTTCATATAAATAGTATTTCCAAATAGAGAGGAGGAACCTAGCGCGCCCCTGTCCACCTCCCACCCAAAATTATTCCCTCGTGTCACATTTTGTTTTGTGTACTTGCTTATCCCCAATGCAAATAACTATAAGGAGTTTCAGACATTCAGAACGCGCCATGTTTCTCGGACAAAATGTCCACTCGGAAATATCTTCTACGTTGTTTTGATGGGACTCTTAAGGGCACACGCACGCACGCACGCATACACACGCACACACACGCACACGCGGACATATCACTTTGTGTATGTGCCTTTGTCGTTTTATGGATGTACTCTGATAGTGAGTGAGAGAGAACACTGGGCATGTGTTGATCGTAAACGGAATACCTGAGCGATCTGGTGTTTTTATGGTAGCTTTGATTTCACGTGCTTTCACGCTATCCAACAAGGGTTCAACTAAGGTTCAAATTGCAAAACATTTTTCGACATCTATTGCTTAATTGATAAAGATTTCGGTGTTTTTTCATCCATGGTTTTAAACATTTATTCATCGGTATGACTTCGTTTGTACTCCGTGGCATGTAAGACATCTGAACGGGAATTCGGGACCATGTACTGAAGAACATCAATCGCGGCGAATTTGGTCGGTTGCCCGGGACCAAGTAAGACCGATAATTGAACCGGAAGATATGCAGTTGCCACAGAAGTATATTAAAAAACCATGACACAGTAAACCTAAGGATACCGACTAGCATAAGTACATCACGGTATGAAGACGATCTAATGGAGTGCAGTCCCGTGTAAAAGCAAACGAAAGCGAAAATGGGTGTTACCGGGGCCAAACAAATGTCAGTATATTTTTGAGAGACTAGACCTGTTCCATTTTATCAATGTTTCGCTGCTCGTCCTAATCGTCAGTGTTTGACCTCAATCCAGTTCAAATTCACTTGGGCAATATGGGAGTGAAGGAAGCTAAAGAATGATTTTTTATGCATTAACAGTACTCCTTCTTAGTCCAGTATATTGAATGCAACACTCGAAATGAAGTTATCTCAACACAGAACAACCATATTCTCTATGGGAAAAGAAAAATTCGCATTTGCAATCAGTAGTATATGACGGACTGGACTAAATTTCCCCGAGGAACACGACCGATTTCGCGCGGTCCTTGGCGGTCTTCAAGTATGCGTATCTAGTAATCTTCTGTTTAGTGATTCTTTTACTTGAACTCCCGATGTGAATTATCTAATGCAAATCTCATTTGAAGCTCTAGGGGTCGATTTGAGACGTATAAAATGAATAATAACTATAAGAATAACCAAACAGATCATTGCCGGATACGCATACCTGAAGAGCGGCAAGAACCGCGAAACCGGTCGTGCACCTCCGGCAAATTTGACCTAGCCACTCATAAAATACCGGTTAAAAAACACCTAAACTTAGTCTTGAGGTCCAGTTGGCTGAGGCAAGACGAATCTAACCTACAAAACTCAATGACTGTTCGGGACCTGTTCCTATCAAATCCACTCCCAGAGCTGTAGAAGCGACGAGCATTGGGATTAAACTTCATTTATTCTTTTTTGGAAGACATTTGCATCCGGAGCAATGCATGCACACATTTTCAGTTGGTCTTTTCTCCTATTTTGATTGGGCAAAAAGCAAATCGGCACATTTGTTGTAAAATTCCACTACCGCATGTTGAAATGATTTCGTATAGACAACCATTTTAGTCCTCAGAAGGGACTGCAGGTTGAATCAATTCGTATGCACCTGGAGTCAAGCATGCGTCTAAATAACTATCAATATGTGGACCCGGCCTTGCCCCCAATCGTACAATTTTCCCGGTCGCTGATTTTAGCCAAACCGAGTGTGCTCTCTTTTTCCAAGCTTTTTCAAACCAAGGTGTGTAGTCAGGGTAGCACACCATTTTTAAACACGTATTTTGAAACCTCCAATATTGTTGCAAAATTCTGAACGAGAACAGGTGAGTCGAAGTGGAAAGAAGCGGTCAGTTATGCGGAGCAACAAATGAAAC